ATTTACGGATGGAAAACAGCGTGTTGTTTCAAACTTAATCTTGTACTTCAGAGAGTCAGATCCGTGAAGACATGAAGGAGTACTACGGCAAGACCATCCAGAACCGGGATGAGCTGTTGATTAATAACCAGGAGCTCGAGGCCGGTGGATGCCGGGAAGAGTCTAAAATTAAAGACCAGGAGGCCAGTGGATGCCGGGAAGAGTCGAAAAATAATGACCAGGAGGCCGGAGGGTGCCCGCTCGCTAAATGTAAACTGCCCCGCCACGTCACAGAGGCTCTGGCGATGGTCCACCCGGACGTCAAGGCCAAGTGAGTCAGGTTAACGTTGGTATCAGGTATTTTTAACGAATGAACGAATGAATGACTGAATGAATGAATGAATGAATGAATGAATGAATGAATGAATGAATGAATGAATGAATGAATGAAGACCTTTATTGTACGTAAATACCCAACGGGTTATTAAAGTACAGGTCACAACTTGAAAAGAATAGAATATAGATAACGTTATATACTTTGTCAAGTAACTACAACTAAGTGAATTCGGCTTCTTTTTGCTTTTTACTAATGGTAAAAAGCTAAGGACAGATATGTTTCATAACCGAAGTTTTGTCTAAGTTCATTTGGAATACATGTATAAATTTTACTGTACTGCTTTTTAGTGCTGATTACAGTGCTGTTATGGCACAGTCCCTGGTGCTGAACTGTTAGTCAGCTGCAGCAAAGGCGGTTCCAGAACTAAACTCTCTTGCTGGTTTTCTTCAGGAGTTACGGGTGCGGCTTGCCAGTGCCTGAGCTGTTGGAGGGGTGCCACGTGTTGGACCTGGGAAGCGGGGCCGGACACGACTGCTTCACTCTGGCCAAACTGGTGGGGGAGACGGGCCACGTGACTGGCGTGGACATGACGGAGGAACAGGTGCGTAGGTTCTGTAAACATTGCCATCACGATCCGCATCATAGCCTCATTGCAACAGTATATAACTACTTAAAAAGCATCAGTTGTGAATGGCAAAAGCCAAAAGTGGGGTCGTGTGGCGTAACGACAGAGTACTCCACTCGGAACCAAGAGGTCCCGGGTTCGAGTCCTGACATGCCCCCGATCTTGTGCCCTTGGAAAAGGCACTTTACACGACTTTCCTCACTTCGCTCAGGTGTAAATGAGTATTGTATTGGTGGTGATGTAAGTTGGAAAAAAAAACTTGAGTGTTCCCCCATCACGTCTTGTGATTACTAGTACATTTTCAACTAAAAATGTTACAGTTGGACTTTGCCAGACGCTACAACGACTACCACCGGGAGGCGTTAGGCTACTCCAAACCCAACACGGAGTTCGTCCGGGGCTACATCGAGAACCTTGGCGAGGCTGGGCTCAGGGACAACACTTTTGACGTCATCATATCCAACTGTACGGTCAATCTCTCCCCGGACAAGAAGGCTGTCTTTGGGGAGGCATATAGAGTTCTGAAGGTAAATTTGAAGGCGTAAAACAATGTTACATTTAGAACTGCATATTGTTAAGTTTTCTTTTGATGCCCACGATCACGATAATGATCATTCTGGCCTCATGCCTAAATTACGCTACACGATCACACTTAATTGTACATTAAATGATTCATATTTAGGAGAATTCTTGAAAATTTAAAACGTTTAATACGAACATTTACTATCTGAACTTGTTCTGGATAGTCTCTCCGTACCCAAGAACCGACCGACCGACCGACCGACCTACCTACCTACCGACCGACCGACCGACCGACCGACCGACCGACCGACCGAGCTACCTACCTACCTACCTACCTACCTACCTACCGACCGACCTACCTACCTACCGACCGACCGACCGACCGACCGACCTACCTACCTACCTACCTACCTACCTACCTACTGACAGACCTACCTACCGAGTTGAACGAGTTGACCGAGTTGACCGAGTTGACCTAGTTGACCAGGGTAGTGGACCGAGTTGACCGAGTTGACCGAGTTGACCAGGGTAGTAGACCGAGTTGAGCGAGTTGATCGAGTTGACCAGGGTAGTGGACCGAGTTGATCGAGTTGATCGAGTTGACCGAGTTGACCGAGTTGACCGAGTTGACCAGGGTAGTGGACCGAGTTGACCGAGTTGACCAGGGTAGTGGACCGAGTTGACCGAGTTGACCGAGTTGATCCAGTTGACCGAGTTGACCGAGTTGAGCGAGTTGACCGAGTTGACCAGGGTAGTTGACCGAGTTGATCGAGTTAAACGAGTTGACCGAGTTGACCGAGTTGACCAGGGTAGTGGACCGAGTTGACCGAGTTGACCGAGTTGACCGAGTTGACCAGGGTAGTTGACCGAGTTGACCGAGTTGACCGAGTTGACCAGGGTAGTGGACCGAGTTGACCGAGCTGACCGAGTTGACCAGGGTAGTGGACCGAGTTGACCGAGTTGACCGAGTTGACCGAGTTGATCGAGTTGACCGAGTTGACCGAGTTGATCGAGTTGACCAGGGTAGTGGACCGAGTTGGCCAAGTTGATCGAGTTGACCGAGTTGACCGAGTTGACCGAGTTGACCGAGTTGACCGAGTTGACCAGGGTAGTGGACCGAGTTGACCGAGTTGACCGAGTTGATCCAGTTGACCGAGTTGACCGAGTTGAGCGAGTTGACCGAGTTGACCAGGGTAGTTGACCGAGTTGATCGAGTTAAACGAGTTGACCGAGTTGACCGAGTTGACCAGGGTAGTGGACCGAGTTGACCGAGTTGACCGAGTTGACCGAGTTGACCGAGTCGACCAGGGTAGTGGACCGAGTTGATCGAGTTGACCAGGGTAGTGGACCGAGTTGACCCAGTTGATCGAGTTGACCGAGTTCACCAGGGTAGTGACCAGGTTGACCGAGTTGACCGAGTTGACCGAGTTGACCGAGTTGATCGAGTTGATCGAGTTGATCGAGTTGATCGAGTTGACCGAATTGACCAGGGTAGTGGACCGAGTTGACCGAGTTGACCGAGTTGACCGAGTTGACCAGGGTAGTGGACCGAGTTGATCGAGTTGACCGAGTTGACCGAGTTGACCGAGTTGACCAGGGTAGTGCACCGAGTTGACCGAGTTGACGAGTTGACCGAGTCGACCGAGTTGTACCGAGTTGACCAGGGTAGTGGACCGAGTTGATCGAGTTGACCAGGGTAGTGGACCGAGTTGACCGAGTTGACCGAGTTGACCGAGTTGACCAGGGTAGTGGACCTACCTACCTACCGACCTACCGACCTACCGACCTACCAGGTAGGATCGAGTCACCAGGGTAGTGGACCGAGTTGACCGAGTTGACCGAGTTGACCGAGTTGACCGAGTTGACCGAGTTGACCAGGGTAGTGGACCGAGTTGACCGAGTTGACCGAGTTGACCGAGTTGACCGAGTTGAACGAGTTGACCAGGGTAGTTGACCGAGTTGACCGAGTTGACCGAGTTGACCAGGGTAGTGGACCGAGTTGACCGAGTTGACCGAGTTGACCAGGGTAGTGGACCGAGTCGACCGAGTTGACCGAGTTGACCGAGTTGACCGAGTTGACCGAGTTGACCGAGTTGACCGAGTTGAGCAGGGTAGTTGACCGAGTTGATCGAGTTGACCGAGTTGACCGAGTTGACCAGGGTAGTGGACCGAGTTGACCGAGTTGATCGAGTTGATCGAGTTGATCGAGTTGACCGAGTTGACCGAGTTGACCAGGGTAGTGGACCGAGTTGATCGAGTTGACCGAGTTGACCGAGTTGATCCGAGTTGACGAGTTGACGAGTTGACCGAGTTGACCGAGTTGACCGAGTTGACCGAGTTGACCAGGGTAGTGGACCGAGTTGATCGAGTTGACCGAGTTGACCGAGTTGACCAGGGTAGTGCACCGAGTTGACCGAG